TAATCTTCGGAGCGCTGTAAAAAAATCCGGTACCCACTGGCGTTTCTTCAAAAATCATTTCAAACAAAAAAACCAAAAAGATTATTAAATTAGATACTATAATCTAGTACTTGTCATAGGATTTTTTTTTTCGTTGCTTAGTTTTTGTTTTATAGGCAAAATAATAACTAATTTTTGTCGAAAAATCGCTATGTTATGTTCAAACGTCCGCCATTTTGTCATAAATCGATATTTTCAAAATCGGCTATGACAAGTACAAGATTATAGTATCTAATTTAATAATCTTTTTGGTTTTTTTGTTTGAGATGATTTTTGAAGAAACGCCAGTGGGTACCGTTTACCCGGATTTTTTTACGGCGCTCCGAAGACTATACAACAACCTCGTCAATTTTTGATTTTTTTTAATAAAAAAAATTGAACATATTCCTGAATGTGTATACTTTTAGATAGAAAAACTCCCAATCCGAAATTTCAAATAGTTTTCCTTCAAAAAATTCACAAAAATGACCTTTTTTTCCGGCTCCTAGGTGTATATCTCCCCTTAAGTGTCGGTCCACAATAAGGATTTTAAGCCCTAAGTAAGAAATAGACCAATCGTAATCGAATATGAGGAAAACAATTGATTGTAATTGGTCAATATCTTACGGTGTAAGGCTTGAAAGCCTTATTGTGGACCGATACTATAACGCTCGCAACGCTCGCGAGCATTGTTTGTCTTTATTTGATAAACAACAAAGATGAAATGATTCCAAGAGCGTTGCGAGCATCAAGTGGAATGCAGACATGACACCTCCTCGCCGGCGCGGCGGGCCGGGAGAAATGCAAGCGCGAGGCAAGCGGTGTGTTTCTTACTCGTGATCGGTCTCCAGATTCTTTACAACGAGCGAGTCGATGTAGGCACGCGGCGTTGTAAGCAGCCGCCACGTGAGCGGATTGAAGACCGAGGTCTGGTACTCCCAGGTGATCTCCACCGAGTGCGGCTTCCCGACGACGTCACCGGGCAGCACGATCGTGTGCGTGCTGCCGGGCTCGTAGTACTTCGAGGTCGAGCTGAGCTGCATCCTCTCGGTTCTCTTGCCGTTCGTGCCGATGACGCTCACGACGAACATGCCAACCTCACCGCCGTGCGACAGACTCTCGTCCGTCTTCGAGATGTTTATCGTCACCTTGTAGTGGGCCTCTGTAATTTGACGAAACGACAATCGTTCAAATTTAAGTTTCTCTCAGTATTTAAACTCGTTTACAAAGGCAAATGAATTGCGCTAACCCGCGTTCGATTTCAACTTTAGTATAGGAAGGGGGAGGGCAAATAGTGACGGATTTTTTCCTCTCTCCCCGATAAGCTAATTTCAAGTCTACAAGATATGATTTTTCACTGAAAGAGTACTTTCCACTTTCAAATATACAAAAAACTTAGTTTCCATAAGTCATGTATACGGACTAGATTTTCATAAAAACTAAAACCTACATTTGTCACTATTTGCTCCACCTTATATATGGGTAAATAGTGACACCCTATGGGACAATTACACAATACATAATTTTTAACTCCTAATCGATCTTTCTTTTGACATTTAGATTAGATAAGGTGATTTATATATTAATTTCTATACTCTGCCATATGTAAATTTTTATTTATTGATAAATAATAGTAGTAATATTATTTGCTAGTATTTCTTGTTGAAAATCACATTTATTCTGGATATTGCCTTATATCTAATCTCATAATCCCAAATGAATTAGAAAAATCATATTCAAATATTATAAAAGCTTTTTGACTTGTCATTAAGATCGGAAGAGCACACGTCATTATTTGCCCTATAGGAGCTATTTTTTTTTCCTTCAAAACTTTACTGAAACACGGAAAGAACGATTTTGTTGAAAGACCTAAAACTTTTGCTAAAAACAGATCTGAAAGCACACGTC